GCAGTATGACCTCCGAAACGTTGGTTAACATCGACCAGACTACACAGCGTAACAACCCAGAAGACAGAAATCTTCATATTCACCGCTGTGAAAACCTCAAATCTTACATGCACATATTTGTTTGTTTCTCTGCGACTCTCGGCTTTCTGTTAAAGAAATTAGCAAACAAAGAAACAAACAAAACCATCTGTTCTTCTTCCCTCGTCAGGAGAGGCTTACTAAAACACACTCAATAACATTTTAGTTTCCTGCAATAACATGGCGTTCAACAAGCAATATCACAGCCCGCTTATGTTCCCACGGGTTCCACATAAAAACACGCGGTCCAATGATTGTTTTTCTTTTTGTGGTTCGATATGCCCTGTCGTAGTAAAATATAACATGTAAAGTTCAGAAAACCATTAGCCTGAAACGGAGATGGTCCGTGTGTCGGAAAATTTATTCGTTACGTCTTCCCTCGTTATTTTGTTTTTGGCGATTTCTCTGACAAGATAAAGCGACGTGTAGGAAAGAAAACTCGTTTTAAACTCGAGACCGGTAGGTCAGAGTAAAAATGGAAGTTTTTGTCCTAAAGAAGGCATTAAGAAGAGATCGCTGCGAAATACTAACGTTTGTTTTTAAGTGATATGTGTCTAGTAACACGTGCCTCAACAGTTTTCGAATGTGGTCCACTGGTTAATTTCATGGACGAGAAATTCACATAGAGGTAAATGGGAAATCGTCTATGTAAATGAGTACAAGCCTAATCCACGTTCAGATATATTTATCAAATATCCAAAGTCGTAACGTTATTAAGTCTGTCCTTTGCAGTCTTCTTATACAGCAAAATACTGAACGACACGTAAATTGCTTAGCTGAATCTTTTTTCTTAGGACTGTAGCTTCTTACTTTGATTATAATTGAACTAATAACGTCGTTCTATGTAACCACTTCAATAACAATTATATCGAGAGCCTAATCATTCATTAGTATTTTATTGTACGTAATAGTACATGTGAAATTAACGCTGCATTTTTATCTTGTCTGCGAATAATTACAGCAGTTGCTGATAAATAAGGGTAATAATTACACCACTATCAGTCTTGTTTTTATTGTTACTTTGCACTATATTGTGACATTCTCAAGGCTTCGAAAGTATGAATCACATACTTACTTAAAATTAGCATGTGAGAATGTTTGAAAGCGCATATAAGTCTGTTTTAAGCAACCTATAGTGCGGAACGGTTTTATCTACGTAATTTCAATTAGTTGTGGGTAATAGTTGTAAGTTAGTTTAAGTATTTTTACACAGTAATGAGAAAACTAGCCCTGGGACATCCTGTTAATCTGTTTTAAAGACTGGTGTCCATTTGCATTTTAAGGTGACGCTGAATTTTTATGAATGACACATTGAAAATTGAATACTTTAACACAGTGATGCAAGTTTTATAATCATATCAAAACCCTTTCAGAGGAATTGAGAAATCTGCTCCTGTCTAAGTAATTATTCCAAAAATGTAAATCCGGTATCTCTGCGGTCCAGACTACAATTTCTCATTGCAGATATGAATATGTAAATATTAGTAACTGTAGCCGCCGTCTCCACTGCTTGTTTCTAGCATTTTCCCAATGGATAGTTAAACATTGGGCAAAAGAATGTCACTGATAGTCATTCTAGTTATTGGAAACATAGTAACAAAGTAATTATTTCCGTTACTTTCAATTAAAGATAGCAATAAGCGTAGGTCTAACTGAAAAATACGTGGTGTGACAAAAATTGTATTAGGGAGTTTTAAATAACTGTCTGTTTGTTTAATAATGTGTCCGAAAAAGTCACTCTGGCTTCCGTGGGTAACATATTAAAAATATCGCGAGATTCATGCGTGATATGATTTCCATAATTATTTTAGTTTTCACAGAAATTCTTTTGTCATAGTACTTAATGGACGTATGAGCTGGGGTAGCTCAGTCAATACAGTGTCAGACTACAGACTTGTTGACCTCGGTTCTGTCGTGGCAGGAGCAAAGGATTTTTAACCCTCTAGTCTCTGTTTCCAGACCGGCTCTGGGGCCCACTCAGTCTCCTATTCAGTGGGTATTGAGGGTAAAACGCAGCCTGGGGCGTGACCCTGGTCATTCACCCGATCTAGCGTCGATGTAAAGTGGGAGCTATATTTCCTCCTACCCCAAGGGCCCCCATGGCATACAGTGGGAGAGCCTTGTGTTACTTCTACTTATGTTGTATTGATATTAAAAAAAACAGACATCTTGGAAGACATGGCGCAGACGGGAGAGAAATTGAAATGAATCTTGAACGTGTGGTTACGTTTGGTCGTAGGCTGCATTGAACGAGTTTGGATAGGGTCCATTGTCGGGTTGTATTGAAAAGAAAACTCGACTTTCGTCTGTCTTGGAGCGACTACCAACTTATCAAGGACTCTTCTCCCAGGAATAATTTAAAAAGTCTGGACCTCTGTGCATGTACTCTGTTAGTTATAAATTAACATTTTATCGAAATGGCCGTATCATTCAGATATCAGGTAATTGAGCAAAGAATCAATTGAGGTTCTAGTAACTGACAGGAAAAATAGCACAAAGACACATGGACACCCACCCAATGAAATAATCGGTTTGTAACACATTTAATTATTAACGTTCGCATTGTTAAATACATTTGTGAAATGAACTGGCGAAACGAGAAGCAGCCTGAATTAACTGGTTTACCTTGAAGAGACTTGGAGTGTGGTTGCTCGTCGTGGGTTGACTAGGCGAAACTCGCGTTGGCTTGTTCGCGCCATCACGAGGCTCTTCTCCACAATGAGAATCGGTCATTTTTAAAATCACTTGCACCCATGAAACTGACTTCCGAAGGGGGAAAAATGCTACCTAACAGATTATTTTTGCTTCCCGTGATTTTGCTCCAAGATAAGCCGTATTGTATCTGATTATTTTGTACAGTCAAAGTTTGCTAACATGTTTTAAATCTGGAGTTATAAACCAAAGGTTTTTTGGAATTACGTTCATTAACAAGTATCCACAAAAAAGTGAATGAACATTTCATGACTTACCTCTCGGGTGATCCATTTACGTCGCTGTAGGTTCTAGAAGTGCTGACTCAACTTGCTTTCATTTATTAGTAAAATATGCGTCCAGTGTTCCTACCTTTTCCTGGAAACACGATAAATAGGGCTGCCCACTCGTAGTAGTGGCTTGAACAAATTTCGGAGACGTTGCTTTTGCCCCTGGTGATCGCCATTGTAGCAGTAATTCACTTATATAAAGAAAGCTGACTGATGTGGTTTTGAAAATGTTAGAAAACCAAAAGTTAAAACGCTGAACAAAATGTAGAAAGGATTCTCGGAATTTAATCTGGATTTGTCAGGAATTTATATAATTTTTCACGTAATTTCAAAGTACTTTACCACTTTGTGTGTAGGATGTATTGCTTGTCTCTGTGTTTTTATATGATCCTACGTGTAACAAGACAAAAATATAATTTTTATGTGTTTACTT